TACAAATGACAAATGCCCCCCCCCCTCCCTGCTCTCTCTCCTCTGTCTAAGGCAATGGAGACACAGATTCTGAAAGCTGAGAGGCAGAGAGCGGAGAGAGCTGACTCCAATCCCAGGGAGTGGGAAGCCAGCTGTGGGGCATCAACAGGTGGTGTGTGGGCACACTCTCCTATGTGTGGGAGGGGCCGTGAGCACAGGCAGAAAAGGGGAGGGGCTTACCTGTTCGCTTACTGCAAAGTTTGTCTTTAACGTTGTCAGACTCTCGGGAAAAGAACTCAAGAAGTTCATCTTCGTACTCCTCCACGATACTCTCACACTGTTAACCGAGGGCGAGAGGTGACAACCCTACTCTCCACTTGGTGTTTTGGGGGGCATTTTGTAGGCAAGGTCTTACTAGCTGGCCTGGAGCTCACTATGTGGACCAGGCTACCCTCAAACTCATGGTGATCTTCCTACATCTGCACCTTAAGTGCTGGAATTACAGACATGCAACACCACACCCGCCTCCACCCTCCAACTTCTGCCCAACCATCCAGCTACTCACCGCAAACTTGAGGGTGCCGCTGATATCTGCGTCGATTCGGATGCCCTGTAAGTCTAGCTCACTGGACTCTCCGTTCCGGCTCACAACACGGACGTAGTTCTTGCGGTGGGTGGAAGGGTCAATCTGTTCCCCATACTCCTTCATGCGGTCACACACTTCCTCGAGCAACTCTGTGAGGTGGGCCTCTGAGCGGGCATAAGGTACCTAGAAATACACTCAGCTTTTGGTCACTCCCTTTTACAAACTTACTTTCCCTTTTAAATCTAGCTCAAACAACTCATAAAAAAAAAAAAAGAAAGAAAGAAATCCTTCCTAATAGTTATAGTTTCATGTCTGTCTGTCCTCCTTCCTTTCACACACATATATTTTTGTTGGTCTTCTGGAATAGGGCCTCACCCTGTGGGGTTGACTGGCCTTGAACTCACAGAGATCCACCTGCCTCTGTCCCCAAGAACTGGGAGTAAAGGAATGTACTGCCACTCTGGGCAAATGTACAATATTATTTTACCTGATTATAAAATCCCAAGGAATAACACAGGCACCACTAACTCTAAATTTTAGGCAGAAACCACTTTGATTAACTGTAATCAGCTATGCTGTTTTCCTGTAACTTCCTCAGTTCTGGGGACACAGGTGGCAGACTTCTGTTCAAGGCCAACCTGCTCTATGTGGTTGAGTCCCGGAACAGGCAAAGACAGACCTGGCCTGAAAAAATAAAAAATAAACAAGCAAACAAAAACTGAAGAGGTGGTATAGGTTCTGATAATAGCACAGCAACACCCTTCCCAAGACTGTTTCCTTTTAGGGGCTGGAGAGATGGCTCAGTGGGTAAGAGCACTGGCTGCTCTTCCAGAGGACCTGGGTTCAGTTCCCAGCGCCCACTTGACAGCTCAAAACTGTCTGTAACTCAAAACTATCTGTAACTCCTGGGGATCCGACACCCCCAAACAGATATGCAGGCAAAATACCAAAGTAAAAATAAACCATTTTAAAAAAAGAATATTTCCTTGTATATTACTTAGTAGGTATAACTTTGTGTATGTGTGTCTTTTTTTTTTTTTTTTAATGTTTATTGGTGTTTTGCCTGCATGCGTATCTGTGTGAAGGTGTCAGATCCCCTGAAGCTGGAGTTACAGACAGTGCTGAGCTGCCATGTGGGTGCTGGGAACTAAACCCAGGTCCTCTAAAAGAGCAGCCAGTGCTCTTAACCACTGAACCATCTCTTCAGCCAATGTATGTATGTATGTATGTATGTATGTATGTATGCATGTCTTATGCTTCCAACTAATACACTTCTTGAATACAAATACTTTCTTTAAAAAGATTTTTATTTTATTTATTTATTTTTATTTTATTTTTTTTTTGATTTTCGAGACAGGGTTTCTCTGTGGCTTTGGAGCCTGTCCTGGAACTAGCTCTGTAGACCAGGCTGGTCTCGAACTCACAGAAATCCGCCTGCCTCTGCCTCCCAAGTGCTGGGATTAAAGGCGTGCGCCACCACCGCCCGGCTGATTTTTTTTTTTTATGTATATGAGTATTTGCTTGCATTTATGCATACCGAGTGCTCACAGACATCATAGGAAGATGTCGGATTTTTAGAATGAGTTATGAGTCACTATGTGGGTGCTGGTATCTGAACTGAGCACCAAACAACAGCAAGTGCTTCTAACCACTGAACCATCTCTCCAGCTCCAAGGAAGACTCTGAGAACATGTAAGGGCCACAGGTGAGTACTGCATGCAGGGTTTATGGGGTACTAAGGACCGAACCCAAGACTGCGTGCTAGCGTAGCACGCTCTCATCTGAACTGCACTCCCAGCTGGAAAAGACCTTTTATCCTTTTATAAATAGATGTATGTATCTATACTGCTTTAGTGAAACAAGAGTCATTATGAACGAGGGAAGTGCAGAAAGGGACTGGTCAAGGCTAACTCCTACAGCAGAAATAATGAACTGAGGTTTGGGGCTAGGAGGTACATAGGTTATGAGCTTCCAGCCTCTCCCAATAAGACCAACTGTTCTGTTGTCTGTCTGCGAGGCAGAGTTTCAAGTAGTCCAGGCTGGCCTTGAACTCCTGACCATCCTGTCTCTACCTCCAGTACTACGACTATAGGCACGCAATACCGTATCTGGCATAGAGCCCAATCTTTCAGACACAGAATGTTCTGGTTGGTTGTTTTTTGGTTTCTTTTCTCTTTGAAGACAGTATCTAATTCTGTGGTCCAGACTGGCCTGGGACTCAGGGAGATCCTTCTGCTTCAGCCTCTGAGTGCTGGATTATTACAGGTTATATGCCGCCTGCTTTCTTCACTTCTGAACTAAACCAAGTTCCGAGTTGTAGCCTCGGTGAGCTACTTTATCTGGGGATAGTAAGTTACCTCTACAACTGACTGGCTGCCGTCTGGATTGATCCGGAAGGATCCCATCTGAATGGTCTTCTTGGGGTCCACCCGGGCAATTTCCCACTCTAATTCATCCACCAGAGCCCTGCAAGCTGGTGCCAGGGAAGAGAACAGGGGTGGGGATGAGGAGAATGGGCTCGACCCAGGGACTTCTATCCATCCTTGTCCGGATACCTCCCAAGGGTCGGCTTCCTCCCGCTTCTCCTTGTCCTTGTGCCTTTACCTCCACAGTGTAGATCCTGGCTCCTTCGAGCCCAAGCAGTTCCCAGCAGGACCCCCGAAAGTAGGGCCAGCCAACCCCAGCCTTTCATCTTTAGCGTAATGGGGTCGCTCCACCTGGATTCGTGTGAAAATTGAAAATAAAGCACAGGTGTGAGGAGACAGCTCCATTTGCCCCCTGCCTGCCACCCTCCATCCCAAGGCCTTCAGAAGCCTCGGTGTGATGGGTTCTACTGTCCAGGAAAAGGCCAAACACACACCCGTGGGGCTGAAGTTCCCTGGGAGTGGGAGGGTGGGGGAATGGGAAGTGAGAACTCAGTTCCAGAAACTCCTCCACAGGTGATGGCCTGGTTACTGATATTTCAGCACTGGACGCTGAGGGTTATGCAGTAGCTATCGGATGGAGATTATCAATCGTGCGAGGACGACGGGCAGAAAGGGGCTGCCAAGAAGGCACCATCAGTCAGGCCATGAGGCCAGGGAGAACACTCCATAACTAGGGCCCTTGCGGACCTAGCACCAAGGGTTCCAGAATCCCCATTTCCACTATGTAAGTAGTTCCCGTGCAGACCGGTCCCTTTTCAAATGACTCCGCCATTGCTGTCGCTCAGGTCCATCCCCAACCTCAATGTGCCCACAGCCTCAGACGCTCGCATCTGTCCCACCTCTGCTCCCACGGCCGCCGCCGTGGCTCAGGAAAGCCGCCGGACTCTCACTTTTTGTGGCTCCCAGCCCTAGCAGCTGTCTGGGAGGAGCGAGGCTGTCCCGGTTTCTCCAGAGCGATCCAGCGCCCGCCAGGTCCAGGGTGGCCGGGGACTGCCTGGCCCAGCGGTCCGCACCGAACTAGGGACCTAAGCAGGGATCGGAGGGTGCCATGCGAGCCCCCACGGGAAACTGATCCTAAACCCGCCTCTCCAAACTCTCGCGCGAACAGGCAGCTTAGGAGCGCCTCAGAAGCAGCGAGGACCCCTTGGAAGGTTTAAGGACCCAGACTTGCGTGGCGAATCCGTTCACGTGACCACCCAAAGAACAAAGGTATCCTAGCCGAAGGTGAGCACCAAGCCCAAGTGGTGCGTGGGGATAATGCATCAGTCCGGGCGGGCTAGGACTTCCAAGTAGATGCAATTAGTGAAAGCGAGACCTAGGTTTCACTATACAAAGAGTTTACCGTAAAGGAAACTACACTTCCCAGGAAGCACTGCGAAATCAAGCTTCGACCGTAGCTACAGGTCTTTTTGTCTTCTTTCTTTCTTTTTTTTTTTTAAACTAGTTGTTAGATTCCTCTTGTGCCATATTAATAAATTATCGTGACTAGGTATGTATAGGGAAAATTACTTTTGGTACTATCTGCCTTTTCATGCGTTCTTGGAGAGTCCTGTAAGTTATCCTCTGAGGATGGGGACGGGACTGCTATGTTAAGTTTATTTAATATTAGCTCTCGGGCTGTGGATTTCCTAGGACAATTTCCCTGAATACCCAGCACATCGCTGATACTATTATAAGTTCTTGGAGGCAGGGTCTTGCTGTGCAGCTCAGGATGACCTTAACTCCCCATCCCCGGCTAGTCAGAACTGTCAGGATTACAGGCAGACACCAAGCCTGGCTCCACAGGTCTTAAGAAACTGGATTTGTGATCTTCTGTCTTTAGGGTGCTAGGTAACTACAGCAAAGACCGAACACTGTCCAGGGGAAATTATATTCTTCCTGTTTCCACCCATTTCAGACTCCAACCCTTCATTTCTAAGTGTGAATCTGAACACAATTTGTCTTTGTTCGGTGAACGATGAATGAAACAGGGGAGGGCAGAAGCCAAAGAACCACACCAGCGGTTTTCTAATGAGATAAAAATATTTTTATTTTATAAAACATGCCGTTTTAAGCAAATTTTCTTAAAAAATAAAACAAAACTCAAGATAGAATGTATGGAAGACAGATACTTGTCAGCTCAGCTTCCTCCACACTGGTTTGATTGGCCCATTAGGATTCCACACGCTGGTCTGTCCAGCCATCATTGCCATCATCTGTCAGCCAGCGGGAGGCTTGCGCTGTCTGGATCTCTTGTACCGGCACCATCAAGGACTTCAGTTCTCTAGCTGGCTGGGGACTCAGTTCTGAGTCTAGGAGCTTTTTTTTTTTTAAAGACTTATTTATTATGGATCCAGTGTTCTGCCTGCATGTATGCCTGCACACCAGAAGAGGGCACCAGATTGATTGCTGGGACTTGAATTCGGGACCTCTGGAAGAGCAGCCAGTGCCCTTAACCATCTCTTCACTCCTAGGAGCTTTTTGTTTAGATATCAATAATCCAGGATATTTATTAAGAATACCAAGTATTGCTGGGCAGTGGTGGTACAGGCCTTTAATCCCAGCACTTGGGAGGCAGAGGCAGGCAAATCTCTGTGAGTTTGAGGCCAGCCTGGACCACAAAGTTGAGTTCCAGGACAGGCTCCAATGCTACAGAGAAACCCTGTCTTGAAAAAGGCAAACAAAACAAAAAAGAATACCTAGTATTTTCCCCTGGGTCAGTTTAGGCTTTGCAGAGGATAAGGAGGGACTCTGGCTTCCAGACCCACTGCGACAGTTTTGCTGCTTTCCAGTTCTGTGAACAGCACCATCTGCAGGCCCTGAGCAGATCCAGTTCCCGAGTGGAGAGGCTGTCTCTCAGGCAAGGACAGGTCAGAGTGCCAACACTGAGGGGAAGACAGCTGTATCTGTCAGGAGACAGAAGCAGTGAGACAAAGGGTGAGCAGAGACAGCAGAGACACTTTCTGTGAAGACAGGACACGAGGAGGAGGAGACAGCAAAGACACTTCCTGTGAAGACAACATGAGGAAACGGAGACAGCAGAGACACCTCCTGTGAAGACAGGACACGAGGAGGAGGAGACAGCAGAGACACCTGTGAAGACAGGACACGAGGAAGAGGAGGGCACGGCATGGATCTTCCTCAGATATTTTAGGCTGGGCAAGTGGCTTTAGACCAATGGATAATTTAAAAAATAAAATCCAAGCCAGGCATTTGCCTTTAATCCTAGCACTTGGGAGGCAGAGGCAGGCAGATCTCTGAGTTTGAGGCCAGCCTGGTCTACAGAGCAAGTTCCAGAACAGCCAAGATTACATGGAGAAAACCTGTCCCCCAAGAAACAAACAAATAAATAAATAAAAATAATAAAGTCCATCTCATTGACTGGTAGAAAACGAGGTGATCTGTAACCAGTCAGCTGCTTCATGAGTAGATGCTAGGAGTACATGCCACCAAACCCCCCCTCCGCCCCCCAGCTTCCCTGGTCTCAACCCAGCCTTACTCTTGGGACTTGTCTGGCTTTCAGGCTCAGGCACCTTCCAGTCCATCTTCCGGCCCTTCTCATAAAGCCCCTTGAGCACCTTGTGGAAGGACTCGGGTTCAGTGCCATTCTTGCTCAGCTCCAGGTACTTCCGGTAGAGTTGAAGTGCTGTGCGGGCATCCTCAATGCTGTCATGGGTCTCACCTTGAATCTTCAGGTCTGCAGAAATACAGTGCTTAAGGACCTCACAAAAGAAAAGGCACCCCGTTTCTGACACCCAGAAAACTCCCCTACAAGTTCCCCTAATCCCATGCAGATTCCCAGTCTTTCAGAAAACATTTTTTTTTTTTCAAGGTAGGGCTTCTCTGTAGCTTTAGAGCCTGTCCTGGAACTAGTTCTTGTAGACCAGGTTGGCCTTGAACTCACAGAGCTCCACTTGCCTCTGCCTTCCGAGTGTTTTTCAATTTTTTAGAATTATTTTATGTGTACCAGATGTTTGCCTGCATGTATTTATGTACAGGTGTGCGGGTGTGCATGGTGACCATGGAGATCAGAAGAGGGCTCCAGATTCCCTGGAACTGGAGTTATAGATGGTTCTGAGCCACCATGTGAGTACTGGGAACTGAACCTGTAGGTCCTCTGCAAGAGCAAAAGGTGCCTCTTAACCACACAGCCAGCTCTTCAGCCCCAGAAAACATGTTACTGACAGTAGCTGACTGAAACCATTAGCAGAAAACACATTTTAATTCTAAACTGAGAAATCACTAACTGCTCTTCATTCCAAAGTCTCCTGCTCTGTTTCTGTTGGGAGTTTTTGCTTCTGTTTTTGTTGTTGATTTTTTGGTTTTTCAAGGTAACAGTCCTGGCTGTCCTGGAACCCACTCTGTAGACCAGGCTGACCTTGAACTCAGAGATCTGCCTGCCTCTGCCTCTCAAGTGCTGGGTTTAAAGGCGTGTGCCATCACTGCCTGGCAAAACCTTTTTTTTCTTTAATTTATTTTTTACATGTGAGTGCTCTGTCTAGAAGACATCAGACTTCCTCGTTTGTATAGTGGTGAGTATCCCCGCCTGTCACGCGGGAGACCGGGGTTCGATTCCCCGACGGGGTACCAAAAAAAAAAAAAAAAAAAAAGACATCAGACCCCATTACAGATGGCTGTGAGTCACCATGTGGTTGCTGGGAATTGAATTCAGGTCCTCTGAAAGAGCAGCCAGTGCTCGTATCTGCTGAGCCATCTCTCCAGCCCTTGTTGTTATTTTAAGACAGTATCTCCTCTATGGCCCAGGCTGGCTTCAGATTTCTATAGCTGAAAGCATTAGCCTCTTTATGCTTCCTCCTGTTTATCTGGACAAGGTCTTCTGTAGCCCAGGCTGTCCTTGAACAATGCTGAATTTGTTTCTTCTGTGTCTCCATCCTGAGTTACGGCTGCAGGCAGGCCTGTGCCACCATGTCCACTGTCATGCTAGGCAAATACTATCGACTGAGCTCTATACCCTGCCCCCAATGTTCTCTACCATTAATCAGTACCCCAGGGTATACGAGGTAGAGCAGCTCACCTAGAAAGTACCAAGCGAGAAACCGTAGGGAAATCATTCGCTTTCGGGGCATGTGGAACAGGTAGACTGTGTCAAGAACTTGGTCCTTGGGCACCTGGCAGGGATCAAAAGAGCAGAAGACTTAAGATAAATGATCCATACTCTCCCACTCTTAATACAAAATATATAAACTAAGAAGTCCACCTTCAAAAGTAACTCCTGCTAGACAGTGGTGTTGTACTCCTTTAATCCCAGCACTCGGGAGGCAGAGGCAGGCGGATCTCTGTGAGTTCGAGGCCAACTGCCTGGTCTACAAGAGCTAGTTCCAGGACAGGCTCCAAAACTACAGAAAACCCCTGCCTCAAAAAAACCAAAAAATAAAAAAGTAACTCCTAAGTCAGCAAGATGGTTCAGCCGGTAGGGCATTGCCGCCAAGCCTGACAATCCCAAGGATCAACACGATGGAAGGAGAGAATCCACTTCCACAAGTTATCCTTTGACCTCTACACATGCAATGTGGGACTCTCAGGAGCTGTATAAGCACACACACACAAATGTAATTTTGTTTTTAAAGTATGGTGCATGGGAGTGGTAAGAACAGATTGTGTGGGAAGAAGGCTGTATATTAAAGAAGAAAAGATGCCAGGCATGGGGGCGTATGACTTTAACCCTAACAGAAGTCAGGTGGATCTCTGTGAATTTGAAGCTGGCACGCTCAACATAACTAGTTACAGGGCAATCAGAGCTACACAGTGAGACCCTGTGTCAAAATAAACAAACAAGCAAACAAAAATGAAATAAGAAACAACAGTAATGCCATCCGGTGGTGGTGCACACCTTTAATCCCAGCACTCGAGAGGAAGAGGCAGATGTATCTCTGTGAGTTCGAGGCCAGCCTGGTCTACAGAGTGAGTTCCAGGGCAATGAGGGCTATTACACAAAAACCCTGTCTCAAAGAACCAAAAAAGGCAAATAAAAGAAAAAACAATAATATAAACAACAAAAACACTTCTAAATAAACCCTGTCCGAACCATGAGGTTGATGACCCGGAAGTCCTTCTGCAGACCATGACCCACAAACTTGACTCCAATATCAATGAGAAAACGAAGCTTTAAGTAGGTAGACTTGAGAGTAGTGAGGTGCTTGGAGGAAATTTTTGCATCAAGGTCGCCTGGCTTTATCCCCGAGTACTGAGTCAAGTAATCTACTACCTAGGGACAGAGAAAAAGACAAATCAATGGGACACGAGAAGATGCCGTCTCTTCCTACCACTCTCCCCAGCGTTCTCAGGCACTCTATGCTAGCACAGGGCTGTTCCTAGTGTTCTCAGACACTCTATGCTAGCACAGAGCTGTTCCCGGGGTTCTCAGACACTCTATGCTAGCACAGGGCTGTTCCCAGGGTTCTCAGACACTCTATGCTAGCACAGGGCTGTTCCCAGGGTTCTCAGACACTCTATGCTAGCACAGGGCTGTTCCCAGGGTTCTCAGACACTCTATGCTAGCACAGGGCTGTTCCCAGCGTTCTCAGACACTCTATGCTAGCACAGGGTTGACTTCAGTGGTCCCTTCATATTCTAATACCTGCTCCTGGGTAGAGATGTAGTCATCAATGAAGGGGATACCCTCATTAGGCCCTTGGCCCCGAACACAGGTGATCCTTGCTACTGACATCTGGCTTGGTTTAATGGTAGACTTGGTACCATCACTACGTAACTCTGCTTCTTCCTATGTCACAAGAATTAATACAGACATCAGAGAAATACCTAAAATTACTGATATCCTCAGAGTTCTGTTCCTATGTCCCATCTTCTTAGTTGTAGTTACCTCATTAAGAGTGACAAACTCGGCATCAAGGCCCACCAGGTCCCCAACCTGTGGCATCTCATTCAGCATCAGTGGAATAAAGGTAGTATGTGTTTTCCGCTGCTTCCGTGCCAACGAGGCTTCTGCCAGCAGCACACTAGCCTCAATAGGGTTCTTGACTGAAAAGGAGAACGCAGAAAAGACAGGAGCTGGAGAAATGGCTAGGGGGAGACCCCAGGATGGCTGCTCAGGGGCCACTGGTCTCTCTCTCTCTCTCTCTTTCTCATTAAAGATTTATTTATTTATTTATTTATTTATTTATTTATTTATTTATTATGTATCCAGTGTTCTGCCTGCATGTATGCCTGCAGGCCAGAAGAGGGCACCAGATCTCATTACAGATGGCTGTGAGCCACCATGTGGCTTGCTGGGAATTGAACTCAGGAGCTCTGGAAGAGCAGCCAGTGCCCTTAACCTCTGAGCCATCTCTCCAGCACTATTGTGATTTTTTGATAACCAAAGAAATTGAGTAAAAGAAGAGTATCTGGGCTGGCCAGACAATTCAGCAGGTAAAGACACTCACTGCCAAATCTGACAACCTAAGGTTGATCCCCAGAATCCACATGGAGGAAGGAAAAGACCTATTCCCACAAACTACTCTCAAGTCCACATCTGTGCTGTGTGTGGTACTAATACACACACACACACACACACACACACACACACACTATGTACACATATATACACACACACAGAGTAAATTAAAATGTAATAAAAAATTTAAAAAAAACTATATCATAGTCTGATATACCACATTAGATCAAATCAGAAAATTATCAAGAAGGGCTGGAGAGATGGCTCAGTGGGTAAGAGCACTGTCTGCTCTTCCAGAGGCTCTGAGTTCAATTCCCAGCAACCACGTGGTGGCTCACAACCATCTGTAGTGAGATCTGGTGCCCTCTTCTGGCCTGCAGGCATACACACAGATAGAATACTGTATACATAATAAATAATAAATAAATATTTTTTTTAAAAAAAGAAAATTATCAAGAAGTAGACCAAAAAAAAGATTAAAATGGTTGGAAAGAGAGAGTATGATTTTCACTTTGAACCTTAGCTTACAAAAATCCAGAAAAGCAAAGCCACAGAGAAACTATTGTCTAAAGGTAGCAAATCCCCCAAAAAGAGATACCATCTGAGAATAGCTGGCAGTGGCAGCTGCCAGGCTTAGTGGTGAAGCACTTGCTCCGCAGGCCTGACAACACAGGTGGAAGGGAGAACTGAGGCTACAAAGTTGCCCCTTGGCCTGCACATACAGTAACAATAAATAAACACAGTAATACAGAACATTTGGAAAAAGATATCTTGTGGGGCCATTCTCATTCAAACCACTACAAAAAGGAGATAGGAATGCTTAGAATCAAAATCATCACCAAAGACATTTTTTATAAAGCTTCCTCCTTCCTTCCTCACGTCACCCTCAGAATTTCCAGCTTCAAAATTAATTAATTAGTTAATTTCATTTTATGTTTTTGAAAATGGTTCCCACTCTATAGCCCAGGTTGGCCTTGAACTGACTATGTAGTCCAGGTGATCCTTGAATTCATGTCAATCCTCCTGCCACAGCCTTTTGAGTGCTGGGATTGCAAGCAAGAATTACCTTCTCCAGGCACTTTCTAAACCTAAGACCTCATCAGCAGGAATTTCTTTACTATGCCTGGAAGTCTTACCACCAGTCAACAATCCTCAAAACTACAAAGATACCCCCCAGGTTTTCTCCTGAAGTCCAATTTAAACTGCCTAAGCCTTTGGGCCACTCCACATCACTTACTGTTCAGGTTGTATCTGGAATTGAGATTCCTTTTGACGTAATACAGGATAGCAGGTACTTTCCAATTCATGTCAAACTGCACAGCTTCATACTACAGGAGGTAAAACACAAGGGGCAGAAGGGGTAGCTCAGAGTGTTTGCCTATTGTGTATAGGCTCTTGGTTTAATCCCCAGCACTAAAATTCCCCACTCTAGAAAAAGAAACAATACAGTGTCCTATCATAACAATGTATCTCATTACTTCTCATCGAGACAGGCAGAGGCCAGGACCCAGGTACTATTTAAAAAAAAAAATTTCCTGACGCCATTTATTTCCAAAGCTCCTTCTTCCATTGTGAACCTTGCAGGTACTCATTAGGGGCCTGAGAATAAAAAAAGCCAAATGGTGGTGATGGCACAACCCTTTAATACCAGCACTCAGGGGGCACAGGCAGGCAGATCTCTTGTGAGTTCGAGGCCAGCCTGATCTACACAGCAAGTGCTAGGACAGACTCCAAAGCTAAAGAGAAATTCTGTCTCAAAAAACAAAAACAAACAAACAAGGAAAGGAATACTAACAAAGACAGGTGGATAAAGGGGGAATGGAGTTGCAATTACACCTGTAATCCCTGCACTCTGGAGGCTGAGGCAGAAGCACAGTGAATTAGAGAACAACCTGGCTCACACAGCAACACCCTCTCTCTATCTTCCCATGAAAGGGGGAACAGAAATGTTTTGATTTACCTTATCAATAGGTTCAATAAGAAAGTCATTGAAAAGATACCACTGCTGGTGAGTCACACCCTGTGAAGAGAAAGGGCAGTGATCGCTGGTCTACTTATACTAGAAGCTCAGGGCCAGCCGTGGGACTGCACTGCAGCCATCTCCTCTAGGAGTGTTTTCCTGGTACCAACAGACTCACCTCCTTGCGCTGGTGGTAGGTCTCGCCTACTTTGATGTGAGCCACCAAGCTGCCTCCTGTTCGTGAGTCCAGGATGTGTACCACAGTAGCCATCAGGTCATACACATAGACACCATGCTCCTCCTCTGCCCTGGCTGGACCCCACTGTGAGGGGGGTACCCAGGCTACTAAGCTATGTTTAAGGATTGGGGTTTGGGATGGGGGATGGGGATAAAGGGAAGAGGGAAGGGAGTTCTGGGAATGGGGAGTCAGGGCAGATTATCTTCATTTTAGTTCATCTATGACTTCCCAACACTAAACCAAGTTATTCTGGAAAACCCCACAACTGGCAGATACCCTTTATTCTTGTCCTTGGTCCCGGGTTCCACCATCCCCTTGCCCTGCCTACGCTCCCTCTCTTCTCCCATTGTTCCAACAACCTGCATCTCATTCCCATCAGTCCAATTGTAAACTTCCAGCCCTTTGTTCTTGGTCATCTGCATGCGAATGGAAAACGGAAGCCAGACATTCTTCAGCTCCTCAATGGAGGAACAGAGCAAGCCCTCTGGACTCCTCGGTTCCTTCCTATCAGGACAGAAGAATAAGAAATGTGCTCTGAAGATACCTAGCCAATTAACAGAGGACTCACCAAGTAGTCCCACCATTTGATGACATGGTACCTACCGGTCAGCCAAGGTAAACTCCTTGTTCTTAATATCCCCACTGTATTTCTTCACCGCTATTTTGAAGGCAACCTGAACACACAGGAAAGACATCAAGATTCCTAAGAACATAATCATACATAGAAGTAAAACAAGTAATAAAAATAAAAAGAACGCAAAAAAAATTTAAAAAAAATTAAAAAGAACGCTTCAAAAGTCCTGCTTCCAACCAGGCGGTGTTGGTGCATGCTTTAATCCCAGCACTCAGGAGGCAGAGGCAAGCCCATCTCTGAGTTTGAGGCCAGCCTGGTTTATCTACAGAGTAAGTTCCAGGACTGCCAAGACATAAGAAACTGTCTAAAAAAAAAACCACACACACACAAAAAAAGGTCCTGTCTGCAATCATCACCTCAGCTTGTGATCTCCAGAAATCAGCCTCTTTTGAGCTATTCACTTCACAGTTAATGACAAGAATGTCTGGCAGATGTCGGATGTTGCGGGTCTGAATCTGAAGAATGAAACAAGAAACGGCAGAGTCTATAGAAAAAGAAACCTAGACAGGGCTGGTAAACCTGGAGCTCCTCTTCCCACTGCCTTAGATCCCTGGAAGGCAAGGCTAACAGTGCCCGGAGGCAGACCAGGGACCGCAGCTACTCACTGTGGGCTGGTACTTCTCACAGCTGTCACACCAGGCCTGCGTGTTCTGCTCCAGGCAGATACTTCGCTTCAGGATGTGAGCAAAGTCATAGTTCTTCCCGGCTTTATCTGAGGAGAAACTGGATACTTCACTCCAAGCTCTCCCCTCCACCCATGGTCCCCCACATCCACTAAGGTGTTAACCAGGTAAGTGAGGGAGCCTCCCCAGCCCAGCTGCAGGGTCTACCACAGATCTACCCTCAGGGTAGGAGAGTGTGAAGAGCAGAGTGGAGGAGGCTCGCACAGTCTCACTGCCACAGCGGCAGAGGCTACAGTTCTCCATCTCACAGCTGAACAGCTGCCCGATGACAGAGTCCCCTGACGAACAGAAACTGCTGAGAGTGGAGAGGACAGCATATACACAAAGGGTTAGAAGACCCTTTAAGACTCAGAGGGGCATGCTTTGGTGGCATTATTCTCGTCCAGCTCCATACCTTCCTCCAGCGCCTCGATAAGCCTGGGGGACTTCTAGCTCCTGCATATCCTGGTGCAGCTGAGTGAGAATGAAGCGGTTCCACCTCTGGATAAGCCTGGCCAGGCTGCCCTTGCCTGAAGCCTCATCCGAATCAGCCAGGATGAGACCCAGTGCTGAGGCCTCAGGAATCGTGCGGAATGCTCGAAGAAAATTACTGCCCTGGAAAAGGGTTATGTTGATGAAAAAGGGTTACTTTCTGTTCTGTGCCATTTGCACGGCAATGCTCTTTTCAACCATCCATCTTCTGTCCCTTGCCCTTTTCAGTGTCCCCAGACTCGAAGGACGGACCTGACAAGGATCGCCACGAGAAAGCTCCAGCATATGGAAAAGGAAGCCAAGCTCACATGCCAGGCAGAACTCCTTCTGGCACAGGTGGTTCTGGATTAGACAGCGAACAGGCTCCAAGAAGTAGAGCACCTGGAGGGAAGAGCAGGAGAGCTGGTGCGGGACACTGGGAGGGGGGAAAAGACGGGGGTGCTCTGTGAGCCACCGGAATACAAAGCAGGACTCCACTGAAGCTAAGGAGTTCACAGAGGAGACTTGAAGTATGGGGTGCATAGGAGATGAGGCTTGACTGAGGAGACCTAGGAAGAGCAGAGCAGGGACTAAGGGGCAATGGGAATGAAGAAAGGCAGGAAGCATGTTCAAGCTCAGGAAGAGCCAGCCCTTACCTGGATCATGCAGTTACAGTAGGCATTGGGGATATGGGGCTCTAATCCAGCAAACAGTGTCTTATTGTAGTGCTTGAAGTCAAAGTCTTCCAGCCCTAGCTTGGAATATTTGATGGTTACCTAAGGCAGAATAGTTTGAGCAGAATGAGTCAAACCTTTTTCCAGAAGCTCCCTCCTGGGTCTGGAGTTGTAGAGGAGATTTACTGATTAGACTCAATGATTTTCCATATAATCCGTTTCCCCCACATCCCACAAGAGCCCTGAATCCGTGTCCCCAGCACCTTTCGGTACTTCTTAGAAACCATGTGCAGATGCGGCTCTTCTTCTCGCCCTATCGGGGACTCCGTGACTTGGCTGAAGTTGTCAAATTCACTGTCCGACTCCTTTAGTCGATAGGGAATCTAGAGTTTGTGTTTTGAAAAAAGAGGAACTCTGTTGGATGTCTTAAGCAGCTTTGGCTTCCCCTTTACTTTTTCCTGTCTGTTTCTGTTTTTTGTTTTGAGATGGGGTCTCACTGTGTACCCCTTGTTGGCCTGGAATTCAGTATGTAGACCAAGCTGGCCTAGAATTCCGCCTTTGCCTCCTAAGTGCTGGAATTAAAGGCACGAGCCACCACAACTGACTCTGTTATTTTGTTTGTTTGAGGCAGGGTCTCATGTAGCCAAGGCTGGCTTCAAATTCAATATGTAGCCAAAAAACCCTTGACCTGTCCAGCCATCCAGGGCTGGGGTGGCCAATGTATGCCACCTCGCCTAGTGCTCACTTAATTCCTTTTTTTCCCTATCTTTCAACATAACTGTGCTTACAGAAATATATCCACATCTGTTAATAAAATACAATTAAGTTTAATTTGTACATGGTTTATGATTTTAAAAAACCAACATGCCTGCCATCCAGTTTATTTTTGTCTACTACAAACACATAAAAGATCCTCCACTAAAATGCTGCCAACAGAGACAGAAAGAACAGCGAGAGATATGCCTTTGGTTTGTCTCAGAAAAGAAACTCATGGGCTGGAGAGATGGCTCCACTGTTAAGAGCACTGGCTGCTTGCTCTTCCAGAGGTCCTAAGTTCAATTCCCAACACACACATGGCAGCTCACAACTGTGTAAAACTCCAGTTCCAGGGGATCTGACACCTTCACACCAATGCACATAAAACAAAATTTAAAAAAAGGAAAGTAACACATATTCCCATATTACACTGAAAAAGGTTATAAATTTGGGGCAGAGTAACCTGATGACCCCAGTTCAATCCCCAGATCTCAAGGTAGATGTAAGAATCAATTCCTCTGACCTCCACAGGTGCTTGTGACACACACACACATCTATACAATAATAATTTTTAATGAATTTTAAAGTCTATAAAATTGTCATAAATGCTGTAATTTTTCACCACCACCATTCACTTCCTGAACATCCGTGACTATTCTGTTATTGTCAATGTTTTCACCTCCATAACCATTTACCCTATCTATTTTGTTACGTTGCCCTTAACTGCTCCAGCCTGAGTAACAGCTTCCCTTTGAAAAGTTCTGGGAGAATGCTAATGACATTCTTTTGGCATTTAAAACCAAGATATAAATAATTTCTGATGTTGCTAATGTCTTACTTTCAACCAAATAACTTTCCTAAGGGATAAAACCACATTATCTCTGACTTAGACAAGCATAGCTCCTTGAATTCTGTCCACACACCCCAAACCTTTACTATCTAAAAACAAAACAAAAACTAGTAAAAGGTAAGAGAACACAGTAGGCTCCCCTCTGAACACACCTGATTGCGCAGCCTGGTGCGAGGGTTGGGCGCGTAGCCAATGAAGCCCACTTTCTTCATGGTTCGAAGAATCTCTGCATCCACAGGTGGTGCTCGCCTATAACCCAGTGTCGTTCTAGGGCTTGAAGGCTCACGACAGCCACCCATGCCTTTCCCAACCCATGGGTTCAGAAAGGGAAACAAAGCCTTTAAGGCAGACAAAACTAACCATAGCAGTGGACTAATAATCAGGCTAACAGAAGCGTCTATTTCCCTGGGCCCCACCCTCCATCCAGCCCAGGGGCCAGGTACAACCTGGGAGCAGGAGCGGAGTTGGCAGCAGGCCAGTCAGAGAGCAGCGTGTCAGTGGTGAGAGGAACAGGAATAAGGGAGAGAGGCAGCAGGTCCTGGCTCCAGTCCAGAGGCGGCAATGTGTCCACAAGACAGGGCAAAGCAAATTCAGTCTCACGGGAATAGGGGTTGAAGGATGGCTCAGGGGAATCCGTCCAGAGATGCACACAGCCCTCAGAATCCCCAAAGGCCAGAGCCTGCTTGCTGGCTGACACATCAAAAGTCATCAGCAGAGGGCCCACGGCACTCACATGAAAGATGTCGGCTGGGTTGGCCAGGCCTGTGGGCTCACAAAACTGGCACTGACCTAGGAAAGGAAAAGAAAAGCCAGACCAGTGAGCTATGAAAAGTGCAAAGAGAAGAAACCCTTTACACTCTTACCCTCTTTATTACCAGGGAGATGGACACCAACATCCTGTGCCTAGACACAGAGAGAACACCGTCTCATGCGTTCTCATAGGCACAGAAACTGTACTCCCCAGCTAAGGGCAATTCTCAAGTTATTTTATTTAGTTGTTTTTTTTTTTTTTAATTTTAAGAAATTTTTTCCAAGACAGGGTTTCTCTGTGTAGCCCTGATTGCCCTGGACCTCGCTCTGTAGACCATGTTGGCCTCAAATTCAGAAATCTTCCTGCCACTGCCTGCTGTGTGCTGGGAAAGGTGTGCACCGTCATGCTCAGCTAAGATTAATTTCTCAATTGTGTGTGTACGTGTGTGTGTGGCGGGGGGGACACACAGGAGTGCAGGGGTGCAGAGGCTAGAAGAGGGCATCAGATCCTCTGAAGCATTCTATTAGGTGCTGGGCACTCAACTCTGACCCTCTGTAAGAGCAGTAAACAACCTCAGTCGCTGAGGTCTTTTCTGTCTCCTTCTACTTTTGTTTCTAACTTACTCTGAGACTGAAGCCAGAGCTTGGCACCTTGTGGGCAGTCATTCTGTCACTCAGCTACAGCCCCGGCCTGCCTGTTTTTCTTTTTCTAGACGGAGTATCACTATGGTGCCCAGGTAGGTCTTCCATTAGTTCTGTAGCCCAGGCATGGATTGGACCGAAGTGAAAACCTGGGAGCCTGAGAGATGGTTGTTTCTATCCCCAACAAAGAGGCATATGGGGATTACTTCTGGTGGACGAGTTCTCTGCTCACCAACCTGCCCTCCCCGATGCTGACCCCTTTCACACCTGATTGGGAGATGATAGCAAGGCGGGAGGTGTACGTAGGGATGAAGCGCAGGAAGGCAGGGTCCACGTGGACTTGAAGCGGTGTGATGGCACGCATCATGCGTAAGTCATACACCTTGAGGAAACGGTCACACGCCAGGCCGGTGAGGCGGCTAGAGAAGCCACAGGCAGCCAGCAGGTTGCCATGAACATCAAAATCTGACAGACTCCCTGAGAAGGCATCAAATTCATGCTCCACTTTAAAACTGCGGAGGTCTCGCAGGGAAACCTGAAAGAGAAAAACTGTTCCTGCCACCTCTGTGACAGGGAGGAGACTCCGACAAATTAATCCTGCAAACATCCTGCCAAAGAGGACAAAGGTTCGAGGATACTGACAGAGCAGAGAGAGGCAGAGAGGAGAGCCAAGAAATAGAAGGGATGCCCCAAAGAATTCCTTCACTTTTTTGCCTCCAAGGCACCTAGCTGTAGAAAATGTCAGGACCCAAGAAAATCTCATGCACAGAATAACACCCTAAGCAGGAAGTGATGTCATCCTTCACACCCCTCATCTTGAATCCAACTGGGGAAAGCAGACCCCAGTATCTAGTAAACCCGGGCCTATGGTGGAGGACCAGGGAATCCGGTTACCTTGCCAGATGTATGGCCACAGAAGAAGAAGCGATTTGTCTGTCTCATGATGGTGACTCCGGGTGTCTCCACTGCATACTGGAGAGAGAAGCAAGAGAAACCAGTAGAGGACACTCCCCACAGACTAAGGGACAGAGAAGTCACACGATACATCAGCGCATTTCTGGCCCAAGCACACCCCCACCATGACCTCAGGTCCCACACGGGTTTTTCCTGGGCTCAGCCCAGGTCTGCACCTTTTGAGTCTCCTGGACACTGTTCAGGTCAATCTCCAGCACGTGGTTCTGCAGCCCGCCGATGAGCAGAGTGCTGCTGTCAGTGAGCAGGAGACTGTGCATGTCCTCGCACTCATCCAGCCTGTGTGAGAAGGGCCGACAGGCCAGGGGCTCACCAGCTGCCAACCCTAGCTTCCTAGGGTTCTCCCTCTCCCAGCTGAGTTGAAAGACTACTCACAAATAGTCAAATATGATGAGTCCCCCACGGGCCATGTACTTGAGGTTGTTCTTGGTGAGGAAAAGGATCCCATTCTCCAGGCTCTGGATCTGCCGAATGTCATCGCTGCCATTGACCTGGAAGGATGAGTAGCGCTCCAAGGCTGGACCGAAAAAGGAAGTGGCATGGCCCTAGCAAGGATGAAAGCAACACCTGAGTGGAGGGGCAGGAACACCCACGCACATGGCAGGGACTGCACATTCTTCTTCTCTCCTCTCCTCTCACCTGTCCTTCCTGTCTAGGGGCAACTGAGGCATAAAGCTAGGAACCAGGACTCTCGGTGATAAAAGCAATGATTAATACCTTATGCTAATACACCACATAGTATTAAAGATGTTTTTATTATTCTTATTTGTGTATGTGTGTATGTATCCCAGACAGGCTGGAAGAGGGCACCGGATACCCTGGAAGGGGAGCTACAGACAACTGTGAACTGCTATGTGGGTGCTGGGACTCAAACCAGGATCCTCTGGAAGAGAACAAGTGGCCTTAACCAACTGGAGCCATTCCTCCAGCCCCAAATTATTTTTGTTTGCCCAGCACAAAATAGTTATATAAACTCTCATTCTCACAATGACCCCAATCAAGAGGTAATGCTTCAGTTAATTGGAGATTTGTTTCTTCAGAAGGCCAAGGACACAAGCTGATCCTCCACTGGCCACTTGTTCCATAGTAAAGTCTTAGGGTGGTTTTTATTTTTGGCTTTATATATATATATATAACAGGGTCTGCTACAGTGCATGGTGGCTTGGCACTTGCAGTGCAGACCAGGGTGTCCTCAGTTATACTGATCCTCCTGCCTAGGCCTCCGGAGTGCTGAGATGAGAACTGGCTTCATGGCCAAATCTTTTTGTTGTTGCTTTTTTACATACATGGTCTATGTAGCCTTGGCTATCCTGGAACTTGCTATACAGACCAGGTTGGCTTCAAACTCAGAGACCCTCCTGCCTCTAGAGTCTCAGTTTGGTTAAATCTTCATCTCTACCAGCATGAGAGACCCATACTGAGCCAACGTTGTAGGCCAGAGCACAAGACTGTGAAACACACCTCCCTGCTGTCAATCATTCACTCCTGCCTTCTGGCTCCATTCTCTGGCTCCTTATGTGCACCCCTTTTTTGTTAGAGAGAGGGGGTTATCATGCAGCCCCGATGTCAGGCCTCTGCCCCCCAAGAGGGAAGAAGGCGTGTGCCTCCACACCCAGCTTTCCCTTCTTTTGATCATTCAAAGGTCTGCCTTCTCACTTGATCTTCCTAGGCAATCTCATTTGCTCTCAAGCGCTTTCTGCTTTAAATACACTTGTGCTTGACTTTTGTTTTATTCATTACTAGAGATCAAAATGCTAGGTAAGTACTCGGCTAAGACACATCCCCAGCCTTTTTTACTTTATTTTGAGATGGAGTCTGGCTACACAGTACTAGATGGCCTGGGCTTTACTAGATGCCTTGGTTTCTCAAGTGCTGAGATTATAGGCAATGTGCCTACCCTGAATCCCACTTCAATTCTCTTCTTTGTCTTTTTTTTGTTTTGTTTTGTTTTTTGTTTAGTAAGGCAGCTCTGGCTGTCCTGGAACTTGCTTTGTAGACCAGGCTGGCCTCAAACTCACAGAAATCTGCTTGTTTCTGCCTTCCAAGTGCTGGGATTAAAAGCCTTGATTCATGAACTGAGCTTTGTTTTTTAACTGCTTATTCCAAACCTAAGCCTTACAAGCAAGTTCATACCTAGCAGTTGACTTACTAATTTGAGAATGTGGGAATATAGCTCAGTGATAAAGACTTGCCTACACGTGAGGTCCTGGGATTATATTCAAACACTAGAAAAGCTGAATTTTCCCATGCCTTAGGCATATGAACTATGTGTATATGGGGAGTTTGATCCCAAGGCCTCTTGTATTCCAGGCAAGCACTATCACTGACTTACACCCCGAGTTCATGTTGTGTGCTCTTCATCCTGCTAAAAAAGGGAATATATCATTTTGAGTGAGGTAACCCAGACCCAGAAAGACAATTATATGTATTCACTCATAAGTGCTTTTTAAACATAAAGCAAAGAAAACCAGCCTACAAATCACAATCCCAGAGAACCTAGACAACAATGAGGATTCTAAGAGAGACATACATGGATCTAATCTACATGGAAAAAGACAAGATCTCCTGAGTAAATTGGGGACATGGGGACCTTGGGAGAGGGTTGAAGGGGAGCGGAGGCAGGGAGGAGAGCAGAGAAAAATGTAGAGCTCAATAAAAATCAATAAATAAAAAACAAAAATAAAGGAAATAAAGATTAAATGAACAAGTGCCTACGTTTCAGCTTCCAGCCCAATATATCTTTTTTTTTTTTTTTTTTTTAAAGTTCAAAGCCAGGCATGTGGTGCCTACTTAGAATCCCAGCACTCAGAGGAGGCAGATCTCTGAGTGTGAGTCCAGCCTGGTCTACAAAGTGAGTTCCAAGACAGTCAGGACTATGAAGAGAAATCCTATCTCAAAAAAAAAAGTTCAACCAGGTACTAAAGTCCAAGGTCATTCTTGGCTACAAATCCAGTTTAAAGCCAGCCTGGGATAAAGGAGACTGACTCAAACAAAGACAAATTATTTAGTACATTGGAGAGATGGCAGCAGAGCTGCCTGGAGGCCAGCACGTTTAAGAAGTTGTGGTCCCTGCTCACTCACTCCCCACTCTGTATGACACCCTGGGGATCTACGCTGAGGCAGCTTCCCTCCCCTTCACTCCAGTTTCTATTTTGTGAGACAAGGTTTCCCGGAGCCCAGGCTGGCTTCAAACTCAGGGTAGTAGCCAGTGATGACGTTGAACTCCTCTCCCGGCCTGTTTCTCCCACTGCTAGGACTACAGTACTTAACATACTCTCCACACACCTATTTCCCAAGACTCCTTCAGCTTCACTCTTGTGGCCCTTTCTGACCCCTGCAACCCTCACAGATACTTCAGGCTAGGAGACCCTCATCTGTGTGCCTTTCTCCTCTCACTACATTGTGAATTCTGTGAGAGCAGGAACTTTGTTTTGTTGGTGATGGTTACTATAGTTGTGAAGCTAGTCTACAACTTGCCATCCTCCTGCCTCAGCCTCCAAGTTAAGGTTACAGGGTGTGAACAACTACACCTATCTAAGGTCTAGGTTGTATTCTGTTTCATTCCTGTGCCTCGTGCAGCAGTAGACATGCCTCACTGAACTGAAAACGTCAGTGAAAAAAAAAATCATTTCTCCTAATGGGAAAACAATTCATGAATCATTAAACGGTAAATAAGTAAACTCAGGTCTTCCAGGAACCATTTGGCTTCACAGCATACATAAATACACGCTTTAAAATTAACACCGAGGGGGCTCAGTGGTTAAGAGCATTGCCTGCTTTTCCAAAGGTCCTGAGTTCAATTCCCGGCAACTACATAGTGGCTCACAACCATCTGGAATAAGGTCTGGTGCCTTCTTCTGGCCTGCAGACATACACACAGACAGAAAACTGTATACATAATAAGTAAATAAATATTTTAAAAAATAAAAATAAAAAAAATAAAATTAACACCAAGACTAAAATCAAGAGAGAGAAGACAAAATGATTCCAGTAGATGCCATTCTACAATTATAAGCCAGGTGTGGACCTGGTGTACATCTGAAATATCAGCACTCTGAGGTTCAGACAAGGCTGCTCCTGGTTCAAACCCACCCTGGGATGTATAGGAAGTCCCAGATAAGAAAGTACTACATAGTGAGACCCTGTTTCAAACCCCCACCCCACTCCTAATTCTAAACTGGGTAAGAAACTAAAGATTGGGTATGAATATACTGAGTGATGGTAAAGGTGATCAAAACATGGGACCAAGCTCCGCTTAGTGACACCACTTACAGTCTCGGCACTCTGGAGATCAAGGTAGGATTGCAACTGAGGCTGGCCTAGGATACATAGCAAAACCCTGTCTTGAAACCAAAAACAGGAGTGGTCATATTGCTCAGTGAGTAGAATGCCTGCCTACTACACAGAAAAAGCACTGGGTTTTATCCCCAGCACCACATGAACCAAGCACGGTTTTGGTGCCTATATTCCCAGCACTCAGGAGACTGAGGCAGGAGACTCAGAAACTCAAGATCGTCCTTTGCTATACAAAAAGTTCAAGGTCAGACCAGGAAATAAGAGACCCTGTCTTTAAAATAACAAAACAAAACAATAAACAACAGTCAGACACGGCAGCACACAAAACTCAGCACTTGCGAGGCAAAAGCAGAATTGCTGTGAGTTCAGGTCAGCCTGGACTATATATAGAGATGTCTCAAAACAAGACAAGGGATGGGCAAATGGGCAGATGGGACGCTTTAGGAGACCAAATATGTAACCAATCTCTGGAGCCCAGATTCTCCAGTTCTTTCTCCACTCCCTTTTTGTTTTAAGAGATCCAGCAAACTCTCAGCACTCCGACTCAGTTTTGACTCCATGCAAAGAGCTGTGCTCGGGCAAAGACCAGATAAAGACTTCTAATCCACCCTCTCAGGCTGCGGAAAAGGGTCTCGTTCTTACCCCATGGCTCCCCACCCATAGCATCTCCTCATGTAAGTCAAAGTGGGAGACGGACACGGGGACTCCCACTTCAGCCACCACGCTGTGCAATTCAGAGTAGACACCTTCCATGATGTGCACGGATTCCTGGACGGGAAGCGCCTCCAAGGCCACCCCCTCTGGGTCCAACTCCACATTCTGTAGCAGACTTGGGTTCAGGTGGGCATCCAAGACTGGATCCAGGGTGGAATGCATAGCAGGGGAAAAGTCGGCCAGGCCAGGATCCAGACCCTCAAAGTTCATGGCGATGATGGGCGAGGCTCAGGCCCGAGTCACACCCTCCCTTGCCACGACTCCTACAGACATCTGACCCAACCTTCAGCAGGACAGCACCAATGGGCCTAGAACGGACATCCTGGCCTGCAAGGGAAGGAGGCACCTCAGTCAGGGCTGGTGTCTTCTATGTGGACAGGACAATGAGGCAGGCACAAGGGCCGAAACTGCCAGACAGATTTAAGAAGCATGCAGGCGGGGGACACGGGCAGGGCTGCAAGGTGGGAGACCTGTGTCCTTCACGCCGCACCCCTAAACTTTCTAAGTTCCCTAGCATCCCACCACACGAGCTAATCTGACTTCCCTTTCTCATGAACCACAGGGTGAAGGGAGCAGGTATAGGGAATGGAGTTTGGCAGAGAGGTCTAAGATGCTTGCTTCCTAGAATTGGATGTGAGGGGAAGGGGTTGGGCAGTGAAGAGAGCCAGACAAGTCAGTTTCCCAGAATCCTTCACAGTGGTTACCCAGCATTCTCCAGGGGGTGGGTAACAAGTACGGCCAGTTACCCACAAACGGGGCGGGGGGGAGGGGGGGAGGGGGGAGGCAGAGAAACAGTTCGCTACCCAGAATTCTCTGGGCGAACCAGAGAAACTGGTTACCCAGAATTCTCCCCCGGCGCAGGGGACGGGAGGGGAAGGAGGAGGGCAAAGGTCAGATGTGTTCCTGGGATGCTTACGGGGAATGGGTCATTACCAAGATTTCTCCATGGCGGATATTTTGGAGCGCGTGGAATTCAAACGAGTAGGGGGGGAGAGAAAGCGCCGTCAGCTCCGCGGGAAATTCCAGTTTCCCTACTACGCCCCCGCGCCTCTAGCTCAACCTAACCCCAGCAAGCCTGCAGGGGATTGGCAGTCGTCGCTTCCAATCAGCAGAGGCCTGGGGCTCGCCTCAGCCAATCAGGAGGAGCCAGGTACAATCCATCCGGAGGAGGCGTGTGACGCCAGAGGTCCGTCAAAACAAGGTTACGGAATGCCGCTGGGGACAAACTGAGTCAGGCGCTGTGTGATGAAAAGTAATCCCTTCAGTTGTCAACCTCGTCAAACGAAATTAACTTTAGGCTTGGAAACTACGCCTTTGCGCTCCCCGAATAGAAACTGGCCCGAGGGGGGCCGGAGGCAAAGCACAGGGACGCGCCTGCTGGGTATTCCCGGCGTAGCGGGGTCTACCCCTTCGTCCTGCTGTGCCTGTGAGCCATGCCGCTGCCGCCGACCCTGCGTCCCGAAGCTCCCTGGCATTTCCTGTGACTGCTAGATACGGGGAAGAAAAAGGAAGCGGGAGCATGACTTCTAGGTTGACCCAAGTGGCCACCTTTTCTATATTTCTAAAGGCATCCAACTGAAATTCCCATCCATGTTTGTGTCGCGCCCAGAGGTCCCCATAATTTTCCCAAGAAACAAGGCTCCCGGATTGTCAAATTCCCCTAGACCGTGGAGTTAAGACATTGTCCCTCAGAGGGAGATAAACAGTTAAGTTGAGTCGGTTGAGTCAACCGAGGCATGCATACGCTATCAACAGCCCTTCTGGGGGATTCTTGACTAGCCTCCAACTCAGAGATCCGAACGTCCCTAATTCTGTGGGAGGATGTCACCATGTCCGACAGATTCTGGGGACTTGGCTGTGTACTTAAACTGCTTTAGAATTAATTGGTCCGGGCTGTGAGATGTCTTAGAACACTCAAGCTCAGCTGTCGTTTCTGTTTTTGGGCTGCCCTGGAACTAGCTCTATAAACCAGGTTGGCCTTGAACTCACAGAGATCCGCCTGCCTCTGCCTCCCCAAGTGTTGGGATTAAAGGCGTGCACCACCACTGCCCGGCTCCTTACTCCTGTTTTTAAAAGTCCACACCTGCAATTCCTGCTTTCTTAAAGCAGGAGCAAGAGGACTCCACAAATTCAAGGCCAGATTAGACTACGTAACAAGGACACCAGGCCAGCTATGGCTACACAGTGAAGCCCTCTTTCAGCAAACAAATAGTATAAAGGCCAAATTGTGGGATGCCTGTGGAAGAAATTCCGCACCAATGATAAACTTTTCTAGCATTTCCTGGGCCATGGAATAGTGGGGACGTACTTGTAATGATAGTAATCCAGAGATAGAGGCAGGAGGATTAGGGGTGCAAGACTAGCTTCTGCTACATAGCAAGTTCCAATCTAGTCAGGGTTGCATGAAACTCTGTTTGAAAACAACAACAACAACAAAAGCCAAGCTATGTGGGTTTGCAAACCCAACACTCAGGAGGCAGCAACAGACAGATCTGTGTGAGTTCAATGCCAGCCTGATCTACATAGTGAGTTCCAGGCCAGGGAAAGCTACACAGTAAGACCTTGTCTCAAAACAACAACCCCCCCCCCAAAAAAACCCAAATCAAAAATGTCTTTCTTTTCAAAAAGGTGAAGAAAGCTTTTAGGATGGCACAGCCGGCAGGGTCCCTGCTGCCATGTGTGAGCACCTGAGCCCCACCCTTTCAGGAGGGCACAGCAGGCAGAGTCTCTGCTGCTATGTGTGAGCACCTGACTTCGATCCCTGGGACTCATGGTGGAAGGAAAAAGTGATGCCCAACATCTGTCATCTTCACTCATGGACTGTGGCACACACACCTAACACATTTCTGCACACATAAGAAATAGATACAGCTATTTTTATGAAAGTCAACTGCTAAAGCATCTATTTAGCACGTGTAAGCACCTAGCAGGAACAAAGCCTGAGTTTAACCCCAGTATCTCCAAAAAACAAATATTCTCTGGGCTGAGTCTATAGGTCAACAGTTTAGCGCTTGCATAACATACACACGTATAAGAAGCTCTAGTTCACAACATACACACACACATGCACACACGAACATATCCATGTCTGTGTGCTCTCTCTCTCTGATTTCTCCCAATAAAAGCAAGTAGAACTTCATGCAAGAACATGAGGTGGAGGCAGGTGGATCAGTAGTTCAAGGCCATTCTCTGCAGCATCATGACTACGTAGCCTGGGCTATGGGAGATTCTATCAAAAAAACAAAACCAAACCGCAAAAGTGGCAGGCAGGAGGACATAGGCACTTGGTATTCCATATTCCATGGACTCCTATATCAAAATAGGAAATACCTAACTCAAAGGATCTCTGACATCACAGGTTCACACACAAAAGCTAAGTGCTAAGAGGCTTCAACAGTTCCTATACAGAGGGCTGGAGAGATGGCTCAGAGGTTAGGAGCATTGCCTGCTCTTCCAAAGGTCCTGAGTTCAATTCCCAGCAACCACATGGTGGCTCACAACCATCTGTAATGAGATCTAGCCTCTTCTAGCCTGCGGGCATACACACTGACAGAATATTGTATACATAATAAATAAACAAATATTAAAAAAAAAGAAAAAGAAAAAAAAACAGTTCCTATACAGAAATCTCTACATTGAGAGCTCATAATTCTCATAATTTAAGAGACCTCAGGAGTTAAAGAGCTTGAGATACATGGAATGAATAAGTTACTTTTGGTTTTGTTGAGCTAAATTCTCACTATGTAGCCCAAACTGGCCTTGAAATTGTGATTCTCCTGTGTAAGTGCTCCCAGTACTGGGGATAGAAAAGAGTGTCACCACACCCCACTCAAGAGTTCATTGCTGGACAGTGATGGTGCGTACCTTTAATCCCAGTGCTCAGCAGGCAGAGGCAGGCGGATCTCTGTGAGTTCAAGACCAGTCTGGTCTACAGAGCTAGCTCCAGGACAGGCTCCAAAGCCACAGAGAAACCCTGTCTCGAAAAACCAAAAAAAAAAAAAATTAAAGATCCAAACCAGGTGTGGTAGTGCTCACACCTTTATCCCTACAGGAGGCAGCTGAGGCAGGCTGATCTCTGAGTTCAAAGCCAGCCTGCTCTACACAGTGAGTTCTAAACCATCCAGGCTACATAGTGAGACCCTGCCTCAAAAAAAAAAAAATTCTGGAGATCTGATGAGAATACTTGCCTAGCGTGTGTGAGGCCTTAGGTTCATTCTCCAGAACCACAACAAATAGGGGAAGTGTGAAGCCAGTGGGAAAGATGCCTCAGCGGGTAGAGGTGCCAGGTGCCAGCTGCCAGAGCCTGGCAACCTGAGTTCAGTTCCTGGAAAGCACGCCAAGGTGGAAAGAGAGAACTGACTTGAACGTTGTCCTCTGATGTCCACAGGCGTACTGAGGCACACACGCATCCACACACATGGTAATTTTAAGCAATTTTAAGCATTTTTTTGTTTGTTTGTTTTTTGAGACAGGGTTTCTCTGTAGCTTTGGAGCCTGTCTTGGTACTAGGTCTTGTAGACCAGGCTGGCCTCAAACTCACAGAGATCCGCCTGCCTCTGCCTTCCGAGTGCTGGGATTAAAGGCGTGCACCACCACCGCCTGACTAATTTTAAGCATTTTAAAAATTTTTTATGTACATTGGTATTTTCGTCTTTCCTTCTTTCTTTCCTTCCTTCCTTCCTTTCTTTCGTGCCTGTGTGAGGATGTCAGATCCCCTGGAGCTGTAGTTACAGTCAGTTGTGAGCTGCCATGTGGGTGCTGGGGATTGAACCCAGGTCCTCTGGGAGAGTAGTGCTCTTAACCACTGAGCCATCTCCCCACCAATTTTTAAAAGTAGAATCTGAAGGCAAGTTATTGGCACCATGGTTCTAGTGGTCTGTGTTAAATTACTTATCTCCGCCCCAGGCTCCCCAGCTGTCATATGCAGTATGTAGTATAATAACACTTACTGAGTAGAATGTCTTGTGAGACTTAGGTTAATGCACATAAAGTGCTTAGAGCAAGTGCACAGCAGAACGTGAGAGCCAACTGCACGTTAGCCATCATTATTACCCACCTGGGGGACCTTCAGCTGGACTCTGAGGCTGAGCATCCAGCTGGAAAGGCCTGTCTAGGAGTGTCTTCTGAATGTGATTTGCATAACGGTTGAGAGCCAGCTGACGTCAAGAGCTTCTTGAAGTCCTAGGTCAGCCGTAGCCTTGGAAATGGTCCCAGCTGCGAGACAGCCCCAGAGTCTCCCCACGGACCCTGCTTCCTACTCCACTGCTAAAGCAGCAGGAAGTGAAACAGCTCTGGGCCTATAGCTTGCCCCATCCAGCTCATCCCACCTCCCTTTCCTTATCTTTCCTTCACCTTTCAGCTCCTTTTAGGACTCTCGGGACATGGACCAGAGGTAGCAAAAGTAGAAGAGACACTACACAAAGTAGGGGTGGACTCCCCAGACAGCCTCTCAATTCCCTTATTCCATTTCTACCCATCCTACGTAGACGAACCATCTCTCCCCCAAAATCTCTCCCCTAAAGTGAGTCAGTCCTACGGTGCTGGCAAGGTCTCATCTAAAGGTAGGCATACCTGCTACAGCATCCTAATGACACATGAGCCGGAAGTTTAGAACAGTCCTGAAGGGTCCTTGCTTCTACACACCTTGCTAAAATCGGAAGGATACAGAGATTGGCATCCCTGTGCAAGGATGACATACCAATCCGTAAAGCATTTTATATTTAAAAACTAGACTCTGGATGGTGGCATACACCTTTAATTCCAACACTCAGGAGGTGGAGGCAGGCAGATCTCTGAGTTTGAAGCCAGCATGGTGTACAGAGTGATTGCCAGGCCAGCCCGAGAGGGGCCCCTATTGAGAATATGTCTCTCAGAGGAACAGTTAATTTTGAGAGCCTTCCGTGTGGTCATCTACAGTCTCATTCTGACATCCAAATTGTCCTGGGCCCCTCCGTAGGGCTGGGGCAATTCCAGCTCCAGACCACCCTCCCCTCCCACGTCCAACCTCATGCTGTCAGTTGCTTCCCTGGATGTTGCGTCATGGACGGTGATGAAATCAGCCATCAGTGGATTTTACCCGTGGATGCAATAGGCTGCAAGCCCAGCACGGATCACTGCCACTGTACCTTCAGCTGCCCAGAACTTGTAGCGATACTTTTCCAGCCATGGGGTAGGATGGGTGGGGGTGGAACGTCGAAGTTGCATTTCCAGTCCTTGTTTCCATTGGTTCCCTGAAAAATCATTGCCTCAAACCCACAGAACTGAGGACAACCTGAGGCTAAGTGGAATGAGAAGTCAAGCGGTTCTTGGCCAACCTTATCACCCCAAAGTACCCTTCCCACAGTGAGGGCTGGCATAGTAATGTCTTACCCTGCCATGAAATGGCATCTCAGGTCACAAAGTACTTCCATGGTTACTGTTGCCTCCAAAAGCAGGACCACCCAGTGAAAAGAACACCCTTTCCCACGGTGGAAAAGACGGGCTTTGTTCTCACGTAGATGGTATCATACGGGAACCAAAGTTCATTTCAAACTGAGCTCACCCTGGGATTTGGCGATGAATGAATACTGTTTTGGTTTTTCCTCGGGCAAGAGGAAGTGAGGAAATCAGAGTGGGATGAGGTAAGAATAATGCCTTGAGAGGCAAAAATATCAGACGGATTGCACGGGAAGGAACTGGAGATGGCATGAATTGAAATATTCGTTCCTTCCCCACCCCGGCTGCAGATATTTCTGTTCCTGGAGAGCGTGACACACGTCCCATCCTCGGCCTCTGGCCACAGCGACCTCACCGCTCATTTCCCCTGGAACCGAGGAGGCATACCTGGGCTCTCCACAGAGGGAGATGATGCAGGGAGGGAAATCCCACCTGCTCTGAGTCACCTGCTAGTGTAAAGGGCGGGTCTTACAGCTCAGGGACCTTAAAAAGAGACTGTGAGACAAAGGGAAGAAAACAGGAAGCATCTTAGAAACCGGACTACAAGAGTCAGAATAAAAAGAGGCGGGTGGAGAGTCCACCAGGCCTGGTGCAGGTCACAGAGGATTTGAGAAGCAGACACCAAGATGCTGGACTGTAGAGCCTTACTACTGCTGTGGCTGCTGCCCTGGGCGGCTCACGGCCGAACGGTGCCCCGGAGCAGCAGCCCTGACTGGGCACAGTGCCAGCAGCTCTCTCAGAATCTCTGCACACTGGCCTGGAGTGCACATCCCCGAGAGGGACCGATGGTAAGTGCGAGCTCCTGGAGCGATGCAGAAACCTTCGCAAGCCCTAGAAGTGTGAAGTGTGATGTAAGCTGGGGCCCTGGGTGGACTCTGGAGGGCTGAAAGTCGTCACAGAATGAGAGAGGACAGAAGATGAACTTCGGGGAGAGCCTAAGAGTCCATTGGAACGCAAAAGTTACTTGTGTTGCCGGGCAGTGGTGCATACCTTTAATCTCAGCACTCAGGAGGCAGAGGCAGGCAGATCTCTATGAGTTCGAGGCCAGCCTGGTCTACAGAGTGAGTTCAAGGGCAGGCTCCAAAACTGCACAGAAACCCTGTCTCAAAAAAGCAAAACAACAACAACAACAACAACAACAAAACCTTATCTCATCCTCCCTTGGCCCCATTCCAGGATCTGCTAAGAGAAGAAAGAGGTGAAGAGGCTAGAAATGACGTCCCGCACATCCAGTGTGGGGACGGCTGTGATCCCCAAGGACTCAAGGACAACAGCCAGGTACTATCCAGATGATGTTAGTAATCTAGGGCAGGGGGAGGAATGAGCTGGCATCATATCGACCCCTCGCTATTCCTGAGATGGTAAAGAACTGCCAAGGGCTTAAAGCCGGCCTGAGCTACCTGGCGTAGGTTTAAGGCCACAGCCTGAGCTAGTGGGATGCTGTCTAAAGAAGAGGGAGAAAAGAAAGCAGGGCACTGGAAAAGAGTATCCATATGTTTTCATTGCTTCCTTCTTTCCCTAGATGTGCCTGCAAAGAATCCACCAAGGTCTGGTTTTTTATAAGCAGCTGCTGGACTCAGACATCTTCACAGGGGAGCCTTCTCCACTCCCTGATGTGAGCCAGCTTCATACCTCCCTACTGGGCCTCAGCCAGCTCCTCCAGGTATGAACCCGGGGTCTGGAGGATGGGACTAGCCAGTGTCCGAGACAGAAGCTGGGAGCTTAGTATTAGAACCCGTTCTGACTGTATCTTGTGTCCTTTCAGCCAGAGGATCATCCCTGGGAGACCCCACAGAGGCCTAGCCTGAGTCCCAGCCAGCAGTGGCAGCGTCCCCTTCTCCGCTCCAAGATCCTCCGAAGCTTCCAGGCCTTTGTGGCGACAGTTGCCCGGGTCTTTGCCCATGGAGCAGCCACCCTAACGGAACCCTTAATGCCAACAGCTTAAGTATAGCACCCAGGTTCCCAGCAATGATAAGATCAATCTACCAACCCAGGCATCTGTAAGCCAACAAGCTAACTGACCCATTAGTACTTTTGGTTGTTGTTTTGTTTTGTTTGAAGGGCAAGGGCAGCTTTACTACGGGGGGTGGGGGGGACCAGAGCAGGTAGCTCCCTAGAGGAAGAAGATGGAGATGAGGAATAAAGTCCCGCGGGAGCACGTCAGGGAAGCAATGAGAAAGGCCAGAGCACCAGAAAAAGTGAGCCCAAGCAAGCTCGGTACCTGCCTGCTTAGTCCCTGAGGACAAAAGGCCAACGTGGACCGACTGTGATTTCACCTGGGACAAAGCTGCATATTTATTAACCCGGAAGGGAGATTTGGGTATTTATCCTTGTAACAGAAGTTTACAGGATTGTTATTTATTATATTTATAAGGAATTATGTATTTTTCCAATAAAGACTTATTTATGTGGCTCTCTGAGTCTAATTTCCCTTTCTTTTTCCTTCCTTCCTTTCTTTCTTTCTTTCTTTCTTTCTTTCTTCCTTTCTTGTTTTTCGAGACAGGGGTTCTCTGTGTAGCTCTGGCTGTCCTGGAACTCACTCTGTAGACCAGGCTGGCCTCGTACTCACAGAGATCCGCCTGCCTCTGCCTCAACAGTGCTGGGATTAAAGGCGTGCACCATCACTGCCCAGCTTTCATGACTCTACTTTCTTTTTTTAAATTTATTTATTCTTATTTAATATGCATTGGTGTTTTGCCATGGGTGTGAGGTCCCCTGACACTGGAGTTATAGACGGTTGTGAGCTGCCATGTGGGTGCTAGGAATTGAACCCTGGTCCTCTGGAGCAGTCAGTCCTCTTTTTTTGTGCATTTTTTTAAATAATAATTTTAATTAATACATTGAAAGGAAAGGGAAGTTACATTCTGAAGAGGAACCAATGCATATCGGACCATTTCTAGATTAAAGGCAAATATTAAGGCGACCGCTTTTATAAGATTCCACCACAGTTTGTAGAGAGCGGACTAAGAGATCGATCAACAGTTAAGACCACAGATTATTCTTCCAGAGGGTTTTAGTTAAATTCCTAGTACCCACTGCAGGTGGCTCACAACAGCCTGTGACTTCAGCTCACAGGCATCCAATGCCTCTGGTCCATGTGCATGTGGCACACACCTTCAGACGCACATAGCCACACAATTAATAAAAAATGATTTTATATATTTTTAATTAATATTTATTGAGCTTTACATTTTTCTTTGCTCCCCTCCCTGCCTCTCCCTTCCCCCTTTAATCCTCCCCCAAGGTCCCTATGCTCTCAATTTACTCAGGAGATCTTGTCTTTTTCTACTTCCTACTTCCCATGTAAATTAGATCTATGTAAGTCTCTCTTAGTGTCTGCATTGTTGTCTAAGTTCTCTGGGATTGTGGTTTGTAGGCTGGCTTTCTTTGCTTTATGTTTAAAAACTTCCTATGAGTGAGTACATGTGATTATTGTCTTTATGTGTCTGGGTTACCTCACTCAAAATAATGTTTTCTTGTTCCATCCATTTTCCTGCAAAATTCAAGCTGTTATTTTTTCTTGCTGTGTAGTATTCCATTTTGTAAATGTACCACATTTTCCTTATTCATTCTTTGATGAAGGGGCATTTAGGTTGTTTCCAGGTTCTGGCAATGACAAACAAAGCTGCTATGAACATAGTTGAACACTATGTCCTTGTGGCATGATTGAGCATCCTTTGAATATATACCCAAAAGTGGTATTACTGGGTCTTGAGGAAGGTTGTTTCCTAATTTTCTGAGAAATCACCACACTGACATCCAAAGGGGTTGTACCAGCTTGCATTCCCACCAGCAATGCAGGAGTGTTCCCTTTAACCCACAACCTCTCCAGCATAAGTTGTCATCAGTGTTTTTTTTTTTTTTAAATATTTATTTATTTATTATGTATACAATATTCTGTCTGTGTGTATGTCTGCAGACCAGAAGAGGGCACCAGACCTCATTCCAGATGGTTGTGAGCCACCATGTGGTTGCCGGGAATTGAACTCAGGACCTTTGGAAGAGCAGGCAATGCTCTTAACCACTGAGCCATCTCTCCAGCCCCGTCATCAGTGTTTTTGATCTTGGCCATTCTTACAGGTGTAAAATGGAATCTCAGAGTTGTTTTGATTTGCATTTCTCTGATGACTAAGGATGTTGAACATTTCCTTAAGTGTCTTTCAGCCATTTTAGATTCCTCTGTTGAGAATTCTCTGTTTATATCTGAACTCCATTTTTTTTATTGGATTATGTGATCTTTTGGTGTCAAATTTCTTGAGTTCTTTGTATATTTTGAGATCAGACCTCTG